TTCTTCGTCGTTGGTTAAGTTTATGATCATTGCTTTTTTTTATAATCCATGTTGATGCTTAATCAGCAAATCCGGTGCTGGCCTGATTTATGTATATTATATATACATGTATATTACAACCTATTGTTGAGAGACCTAATTCTTTTTTGTCCCATCGATTTTCATAAAGGGTTTTGATTTCTAGCTAAGTTACACAAAAAGCTTGGACATAAGAATCACAAAAAATATAATCAAGATCTATCTACCGTTAAGTAATGCAATATTACCTGCTCATGAATAAAAAACAAAGGAGATATTTGGCCGCCCTTGAGAACACCTTTGAGAAATGCAAGCTTTCGCTTTGGAGTCGATCAAAGGAACACGATGAATGTAAGGTCAGATAGTATCTGTAAAAATATATGTACCTCGAAAATACCACCAATTTTACATGCTTTAAAAGCTCCATACTTCTATTTTAAACATTTTAACATCTAAATGTATCAGTTGTCAAGTAATTGCCGGTGCTTTGTGTCAACCTTCAATTTCACTAACTGTAGTCATATCTCACTTCAACCACACGCAATATTCATTCATATCATTATATAGATCTCCCTTTTGCAGAGCATTTTTTTTTGTTAAATATTTTGTGTGATCGGTATTGTTTGAAAAATTGAAAGTCCAATAAAGTGCAACAATTAAATTGCGACGACACAAAAGTGTATGAGGTCTATGGAGTGCAAGCCCTTCAGAAATTGTTTTAAAATCTTTTGTTGTCAAACAACATAAAAAAAAATTGTTTTTGCCAGTCTTTACTTCATAGCAAGCTTTAAAAAAGACAAACTACGTATATATAAGGTAATTGAGCATGAAACATCTTGAACAATAGAACATAATTTTAATAGTTATGCAATAAAAAAAGCATCCTATTTTGAAGAAGTAATAATGACGAAGTAAAATCTAAATCATTTTATTTACTTAAATGACCCTGCTTTTATATATGAGAGCATATAAATAGCTTTATATATTCTTACAATTCATAATTATTATACTAAGTAGTTCCAAATTATCTCGTGAGAAATTAAAATCATTTTAAAACACGTTATTATGTCCAGAACTCTATATATATTCACTTTCAGAGAAAAAGTTGTACATGGAAGTTGTTAAATTGATGTATATGTATACATATGAAGCACAAGGACACGCAGTATTTTGGCAGCTGTCACTCACTAAGTAAAGAGTCTGCTATGATAAATTTCCTTTTAAGAGCTTCATGATTTTATGTAGAAGTTCTGTTAGAATTTTAGACATGTGCATTAATCATGCATCTGGCAATTGTTGTTTTCGTCAGATGGATCAACATATACGAAGGAAAACGACGTAAAGAGATGTGTAGTTCAGTTACATACAGATAATGTGTTGTACCCCCCCCCCCCCAAACAAAGTTCCTGATCATGTCTATACATCTGGCCAACTTTATACTAGTATTCAGATCGTTCACATATATATAAAAATAGAAATCTTAAGTTTTCTAAATAATCTGCATAGCCATAGACATCTAAATCGCATACTAGTATTCTTTGCAACCGATTTCCCTAAGTCTAAATACAGTGCACAAAAGTTCTTGTATGTGTAAGAAGTCTTTGGATTTTTGTAAACACGAGCCCGTAGCAACGTTTCTTTGAAGAGGGGAGGAGGAGCAACCTTCCAAACAAAACAAAACAAAAATGGGCCAGCAAAAGTTTTTAAAAAGTGAAATGTTCAAACTCAAAAAACCCTATATTTCCAAGGTGAAACCTTTCTCTTTTTTCTGGGAACAGTTTTAGATAAATCCTGGATTTTGCCAGTGTTCGACCTTGCAGTAGAGGGTTCAGGTCACGTGACTTTCACCTGTAATCGGTGCTGTTTATACGCATTCATTGGCGTTTTATAAACTTATAATTTAAACACTGCATAATTAAATAAAGTACAAATGAAATAATAAATGATTTTTATAATCTTTGAACTCTTGTATGACGTGAAAATCATGGCATTAAACAATGTTTACAATTAAAATTCAGCAAGTCAAAGTTGTACTAAAATTAGAAATCGGATTTCCCTATCTTTGCATGACGCCAAAATTCAGCCTCCGTTGTGTTGATAGCGTCTTTTTGATTGGCTTTCCGGAAGCTGTTACCTAAGGGATGTACGATATGGACTAATCATATGAAAGCTTATATATCGTAAATTGATATGGATTTTGTTGCATTTGGAAGCGATGAGCAGAAGTTTGTTTTTTTTTGTTTGGAAGAAAAGAAATCCAGTCTATCACGGTAAGCAATTGGAATATTTTAATGCAACATATGCTATCAGAAAGCTGAGAATATTTACTTCATGAATATGTTTGTATTGTAACAATTTGTAAAAACACATCACCCGGAAATAATTTTCAAAGTAGGGAGATCGCAGCCCTGACGCGGCTTTTGAAAAGTGTGGAAAAGTACTTGTATCGTGCTTACTTTTTACCGTAATATGGCTATTAATATTATAAATGTCAGATTAAAAATATTTTATGCCAATATGAGATTTGCTAGACTTTATATTATTTATCAGTGTGTTGAATTTTGTAGCCAGAATTTCCTCAGAAATTGAATTACTTACACATTTGATTTGTCAAGTTCTGGTGAATGTTGAAGCATATGATTAGGGATTTTGTTGTTTTGCTTCTGAACACGATACTTTGTGGTTAAATATTTTTTATTACAGCAAGCATTTACAGATATATAGACTGCTGGAGAGTGCTAGAATCGAGGCAGACAGACTCAACTCAAGCTGATTCAGACTGAATATATAAGGGATTTTTAACTTACAATTAATATATAAGACTTTATGTCATGTCACACTGCAGAACAGTGAATTTCAAATCTTTTCATTAGTTTAAATTAATTTGAATGATTTATACAGGTCAGACAACCTGTTTATGAGCCATGGGTATGGGTATTTTTATTCTGCATCTGTTCCTGTTTTTGTTTTTGTTTATTTTTTTTAATTTTAGATTTTGTGTTTGATATTGATGATTTTTAATCCAATTTTTTTAAACTCATTTTGCTTTCTAAAGGATACTGATGATAAAAATGTTATGAAATGAAATTCAACCATTGCTATATTACAAATCAGTCATAATATGAATTCATATTAAATTATATTTCTTTTCAAAGTGAATAAATTTCATCATATACACATATACAATATTATACACATGTAATACAATATTTTACCATGTAATATATATATATACTTGTTTTGTAGCAAAACCTTTGATAGATATTGATGTAGGGGGAAATTTTGGGACTGTCCAAAAGAAAATAACAATTTCAGAGATTCTGAAACTATTTCCATCAACAATGACCTTTACTCAATGCTTAGAAAGTATGAGTGATGAAACCCGCCAACAGTTTTCAAATGTAGATAGGAAGGGGTTACAAACAAAAATCTCAAGGACAGCAAAGAAAAGCGGAGAGTTAAAAAGAAACAAAAATGAAGAGGAGTTAGCTGTCTATTTACAGTCTGATTTCGTTCTTCCTCTCTCCAGAAAAGACCCCTCAAACTTTGGAGTTGTTGATGATGTCAAAAAAGAAAAACTAAATATTTTAACCACAAAAACAAAAGAGGTTGTCACTGAAAATCGCTCCCTTAAAAGAGACATCCAAAGCATAGAAGAAGAATATTCAATTTTAGAAACACAAATCACTAGAGCTGAAACAAAAGTCAACATCCTGCTATCATTACTGGAAGAAACAACAAGAAAAAATGAGGAATCTCTTAAATCTTCCAGAAGTGTAGAACAAATCAAACTAAGAAGCCAAGAGTGGGAAAATAAGTACAATAAATTATCAGACAAGTTAGAAGACACATTGAAAGAACTGAAGGAGAAAAAGGATAAACTTGAGTCAGTAACAAGAAATTCAACAAAAAAACTGAAGAGAAGAGACACAAAAATTGCTGAACAAAGTGATGATTTGAAAATAAGTGAGAGAGAATTGGCTTCAAAGTCAGTGGAATGTGAGAAAAAAACTACAGAGCTAGAGCAAATGAGAAAAGAAAAGAGAAATTTACTTGTTAAAGTTTGTAGGTTAAGATCAAGAAGTAAGTCAAAAGATCAAGATAGAATGTCTGAAAAGTTGATGAGTGAGATTGAAGATTTGAAAAGAGAAATTTCTATCAAAGAACGCAAAATTCTAGAGTTGGAGGACATTATTAATTGCATTGACAATGATGTCATTCAGACTTTTCATGAAGGTAAGTATACCAATGAAATTAGAGAAACAATTATGACCCTTGTTACAGAGTTTGGGGTGAGCCAAAAAAAAGTCAATGGGGTAATTGAAACTGTTTTAAAAAACCTCACAGGCAAGTCTTTATCAAGTTTGCCAAGTACCGGTGTTAAGTTGAGACTTTTGTCAGAGGCTAAGCGCATTGCTCAGTTGCAAGTTGCTGAGGCAATGCTCAAAGATGCAGAACAAAATGAAAATAACTTAGAGGGTAACTGCCTTCATCAAGATGGCACATCTAAATTCCATCGTCATTTTCAGTCATTTCAGGTCACAACAACACAAAATCAGACATATTCTTTGGGTTTATGTGAAGTTGGCAGTAGTGATGCCACTTCTTTAATGAACACATTTAAAGAGTTAATCGGTCAGTTGTCCCAAGCTCTTAAGATTCTGGCAAAGCTGATTTGGACAAAACCCTTTCAAAATTAGTTGGATCAATTGTATCTACTATGTCTGATCAAGGATCAACTAATCCTGTCTTCAACAAACAGTTGCAAGATCTCAAACAAAGCTGTATGCCAGAAATCATTGAGAACTGGGACAACTTGACTTTAGAAACAAGGTCTGAGCTAAGTAAAATCAGTTCATTTTTTTGCAAAATGCACATTTTTGTAAATATGGCTGGGGAAGTTGACAGATGTCTCAATGTTTTTGAAGACAGTATTGCACAAGGGAAAAATCCTTTTTCTTTTGAATGGAAAGAAAGTGGGGGTAGTAGGCTGACTAGAACGGTAAGCAAGGCCTTCACAATGATGGGTTGTGAAAAATCTGGGGTAGGGGGTCATTTCATGACCTTTTTGAAGGAAAAGGGAGAGCAAAATCATTTAATTTCTTTCAGGGGTCATAGATTTAATCATTTATTTTGTGTTGCCGGGTCCGTTTACCATCACCGACAACATATACAAGACTTTTTGTCATCTTGGGCTGACCCCAATGACCTCTTGAAAAGTGTTTCCTTTGATATTAGAGAAAAGGGGTACATTTCCAGCATTCGAGCTTTGGGAATAATAGACAAGATGATTACAGGCCCTTTATGGAAACTTATTGAATCAGTTGAGAATGTTTTAGCCTTAAATCCTTATCTTCTTATTTTGAGAGACAAACTATCTGAATTGTGTGGTGATGCAAGTCCCCTTCTGAAAGGTGAGCCTATTTTTCCAGATGTTGCTATCAAGAGGGATCAAATTTATGAAAGTTTGTTTTCAGAAACCGATGACCCTGTTATAGAAACCTATTCTCAAATGGCCCTAGAACTGGCCCTTGGGGGGATGCTCCTTATTTTAGAGAGACAGGCAAAGGACCAGTTGCCAGGAGGTAAGTTTTTTGACCCCCCTATAACTGACCAGTTCAGAGCAAGTTCGGTTCCTCCCACCAACACTTGCTCTGAACGAGACTTTGCCCAACTTGACATGCTCATGAGAGCAAAGCCATCTGCATCAACAGAGTGTTATGAGTCCATAATTATGTGGACCAATAACAAGACGAGCAAATGGCTTTCCTCTCTTGACAGTCAAGAGAGGGAGAAAAATATTAACAACAGTAGAAAGGCTGCCCCAGAAATGATGCAAGCGTTTAAAAATAAACAGCAGGAATTGTTCAACACTAAATTAAAGTTGTTAAGGGAAAAACAAGAGAAAAAGGCAAAACAGGAAAACAAGTTATATACACAGAAAGTAAAGCTAACAGGGAAGGTTAATGAACTGGGAGGGCTGTGGGTATCAAAAGACGAGGTCTTGATCTTCAAAGAGAAAAACAGAGACAAGTCAGGTAATTTTTTTAAAGATGCTTTTACAACCCAGCTACAATTCAGGAAGCAGGTTCTTGGGAGCAAGGGACCAAAGGAGAAGTTTCAACTGCAGGTAAAGGGTCATCAATTTACAGTGGAAGAATTGGAGGAAAATTTGATTGATATAATTACATTAAATGAGGAATTAGAGAATGAAATTGTTGAAGAAAGATCAATTCAGTACAAACCATTAGATCAGGTGAGTCAAAATATCAAATTGGCAAAGGAAAAACTTGTGTTGAAATTAGAGGAAAACAGGAAAAAAATTCAAATAGACCAACAAAAACATTTATTACCAGAGTATATCAAAAAACCAGATTTATTAGTGGGAAAGAAAATAAAACAAAAGTTTAGATTGGAAGAATCAAGGGAGATTGAATGGTTTAGGGGAGAGGTGTTAAGCTTAGAGCGAGAGAATGGGAGGAAAAGTAGGTATCGTGTGAAGTATGAAGATGAAGATGATTGCGTTTTCACTTTGTTAATTGATATTGAAAAAGGTGATATCATTGTCTGTTGAATCTGATTTAAACTGAATAAACTGTTGCATTTTTTTCTTCATCAGTTTTTACCCATTCTCATAATTTTGAAAATTTACAAAATTTTCTCTCTTTCTTTGGCTGAATTGGATTTCTGCCACTGTATTGCAATTATATTTTAATTGAATTATTACAAAGTTCTTTTTTGAAACTCAATAAATGCTAGTTTTCATGATTTTAAAGCATTTTTATTAAAGGATGCTTTGTTGCCTATTTTACATTTTGGCGGCCATATTGAATATAATGCCGCCATCTTGGATTTTTTTTTAAGCATTATTTTAATTGAATTATTACAAAGTTCTTTTTTGAAACCCAATAGTTGCCAGTTTTCATGATTTTAAAGCATTTTTATTAAAGGATGCTTTGTTGGCTATTTTACCTTTTGGCGGCCATATTGAATATAATGCCGCCATCTTGGAAATTTTTTTAAGCATTATTTTAATTGAATTATTACAAAGTTCTTTTTTGAAACCCAATAGTTGCCAGTTTTCATGATTTTAAAGCATTTTTATTAAAGGATGCTTTGTTGGCTATTTTACCTTTTGGCGGCCATATTGAATATAATGCCGCCATCTTGGAAATTTTTTTAAGCATTATTTTAATTGAATTATTACAAAGTTCCTTTTTGAAACCCAATAGTTGCCAGTTTTCATGATTTTTAAAGCATTTTTATTAAAGGATGCTTTGTTGGCTATTTTACCTTTTGGCGGCCATATTGAATAATGCCGCCATCTTGGAAATTTTTTTTAAGCATTGAAACAGAAATTTAGAGCTTGCATAGAACTTTCAGAAAATATATAGTTTGCTTTACTTTAATGTAAATTTAGACGATATATTAAAAAAAAATCCTCAATTTCTTAGACTTGAACCTCATTTCATGTGCCATCATTCCCTATTGCTGTATAGTATAATCTAGTTACATAAAATGCTACTGTTCACACCATTAAAAATTCCATAACTTTCGTTCTACTTGGAATTTTTTCACCAAGTAAAGTTTATTATATTTCTTAAAGTGTCTATATTTATGCTAGAATATATTTATTTGAATATATCTCATCGAAAATTTATACCTGAACCCCCTACTTGCAGCAACAAAAATGGAGGGATCGGTTGGGGGTGGGGGTATATGCAAATTTACTAAATAGTAGAAATAGCTCGTATGCAATATTTCAAACTAACTTTCTGTAACCACTTTACCGTAAAATGGCCAGGTTTTAACATTCTCTTGAAATATCTTGGTTTCTTGTTTCTAATATAAATAAAGATGAGAACTATACGAGCAGAAGTTTATTTATAATTCGACAGTACTATATACGGTTACTGACATCTAAGAACGCAAAAGTCCGACTTCATTCCAAGTTATGCAATGTCATTTTGACAAAGACTTTCTGCTCAATGACCCTTTCAGAGGTTGCATGATAATAAACTGGAGATGTTTGTCGACTTAAAAGCATATCGTATGTTAACATGCAGGGGTCCCAAGAAGTTCGAGTCTTACTTATTAAGATGAAACGTGTCTCTGCAGTTTTCCTAGTCTCCGCTGTGTTTGTATACATTACATGTAATTAAACTGTCTAAGGAAAACCTGTGGAACATCCTTTCAAGAGACAACGTTATAATCTGGTACAGCAATTTCATTTTTACCTGTTCCTGATATTTATTCTCTTTATTCATCAAGAACTGTCACTATAGGCGTTAACATTGGGCGAGGGACGTGAAAGCTTTACTGCAAACTGTCATGTTGATTTTCGTCGTTTAATTTTGTATAAACAGTCTGTATTTTCTTAAACTTTTAATACATTTTTGACACAGTTTTCATGTTTTTCTTCTAAATAAAGGTTCATTAGAGTGCTTATTTTGGTCATACAATACCCCCAAAAGATTAACCGGTTTTGTCAGTTACTGCCAACAAAATACACATCTATTTATGTATTTTATTCACGCAAGCAAACTTTCTCAGTTTCTTCTTCAAACTTGTGTAAACTCGGTGAAATACGAAAGTCCAACCGTTCAAAAATTATGATCAAGGTTAAATTTTTTTAAAAAGTGTGTCGAACTCCAATGTCATGATCAAAGAGTAAAAATTAATGGTATCAAGGGAATTATCTTGCCACAAGGAATGCACCTATGAAATATGAAAGTCCTTGTCCTAAATATAAAAAAGTTATGATCAAGGTTAAAATTTTCTTTAAAGTGGGTCAAACTCCAAGGTCAAGGTCAAAGAATCAATATTTATGGTGCCAATGGGAATGTCTTGTACCTATGAAATATGAAAGTCCTTGTCCTAAATATAAAAAAGTTATGATCAAGGTTAAAATTTTCTATAAGATGGGTGAAACTCCAAGGTCAAGGTCAAAGAATCAATATTTATGGTGTCAATGGGAAGGTCTTGTCATAAATAATATTTGAAATATGAAATTCCTTGTTGTACAAAAGTTATGGTCAAGATTAATCTTTCTTAAAAGTGGGTTAAACCCAAAGGTCAAGGTAAACTGTCAAAAATAGCTATTACTTTTTACCCAGTGAACGGTCTTGTCACAATCAATATGTGACAATATGTGAAGCATGAAAGCCCTAAAACCAAGTGTTCAAAATTTATGACCGAGGTTAAAGTTTAGTAAATTTTGGTAAAAGTGGGGTAAAACTCCAAGGCCAAGAAGTCAAATGTGTTGGTACCCAAAGGAAAGTGTTTTTTTTACAAGAAATGCATACGTGAAATATGAAAACCACAGATCCAACATATCAAAAGTTAAGGACAAGGTTAATGTTTTGCAGACATACAAACAGACAGACCGAAGAGCCAACAACTGTATACTTCCGAATATTTGATTACGGTGGCATAAAAAAAAATAAGGGTAATTGCAGTTCAAACAGATGTAACTTTACCAGTATGCAGACTTGTTAATGTTGTGGTATAGCCTCGGTATACATGAAAATGGCTTGCTAAGAAATATATATTAGTACATGCACATCAGAATGTTCTTCCATCTAGAAAAAAAGCATAAGAGATTGACACATTTGAATCTTTACTACCCATCCATATGTCATTGCTAATCTGCGAGAAAAAAGTAAAAGTTAAAGGATATCAAAATATAAAAAACTAAACCATATACCCTTTCAAATATGTAAATATTCTGTGATATAAGAAACTGAAATTCTAAAACTTCTCTGCATATCTGAAGATAATTCACTTGCTAGGAATACTGTTGATCACTATATTATCACTTTTTTCGAGACACCTTATTTTCGCGATTTTGTTATTTATTGGCGAGTCAACATTTTCGCGAGCTATGGTTTTTGTTGTATTTTGTTGTATATAATCCTTACTAATACATGTACATTGTATAAACGAGAATTATTTTTTTGCGAACAGACAGACTCGTGTAACTACGCAAAAATAAAGTCCTTCTTGAATTACATATATACAGTATTATTGGACAAAGAGACGGAAGCAGCACTGATAGACCCAAACACAGGCATCTGACTTTACTTATGTTTCTTATATAAAAAAAAATAATCCCATACATAAGGGATGGTGTTGAATATATTTTTTATTTAAGATTTGTCAAGTGTCTGCGGACTCAAACTATTGTGTAGTAAAATCAGTCAACACAACGGCCAAAAAATAATATGACAACACAAGAATTATGTTCCCTCTTTGTATCATGTTGTAAATTTTGAATTTACTAGGGGGAGGTAAATGCAAAATTTACAACATGATACTTGGCAAAGGAAGACAGAGATTTTTTTGGCAAAGGAAGACAGAGATCTTCTTCTCATAAACATTTTGTCGGAAATATTTTATGAAACGTAGCATAAAATTCTTTAATTTTTTTTATACAATATGGATTTTTCATCCTGTCATAAAAATTATCAAAGCTAAAATTTGCAAAGAGCTGAGAATTGTGTAGTACGGTATATGATCCAGTGACGAATCAAAATTATTGCAAGGGGGATGAGGATGTGCAAAGAATACGCATGATTTTATTTGATAAAAAAGAAAGAGGAATTGAGTAGCTGCAGTTCTGAAGCTCATTGGTCTAAAAAGTTGGATGAACAACCAGATCACCCAACCCATATTTTTCTGTTGACAGATCTGCAGCTATAGGAATGAGGCAGCATCACTCACTCCCAAACCCCGATTTAATTTGATCCTTGTTTAGTAAAAATTTTTTTCATTCTGAATGTGATCTAAGATTCATATTAGTGTAGCACAAATATTTTTATATGACTATAATCATTCAGGCATCCATCTTGCTTATAAACGTGACTTTATGCTTAGCTATACACCTAAATGACCAACAGTTTATTTCCTGACTGAGTACACAGGATATGTATTTGTCACGGATTAATATTTGATAGTATTCTTTTCCAAAGTCCCAACTTCTCCAGTTATACTACTTGCACTTATAATGATGGCAAAAAGGGGGCGTAATCCCGCCCTTTGCCCCTTCTAAAATCCGCCAATAAGATCATTTATAAAATGTTGCAACAATTGGTGATAAATTCAGTAGCGAATTTCCTTGACAGATGTTCTTCCATGTAAAAAACAACCATGCCGTGAAATTCCCAAAATTTCTGCAAATACCTATTGAAGATAAACTTTCTGTCGAAGCAAAATGTGTGGGCCGCGCTCAGTCAAAAACAAGGTTCCCCACAAAAAATAAGATCAGAGATTTATAAAATGTTGCAATTACAAATGGACTTAAGAACCTTAATATTTATCAATGACAAATTCATTGGCAAAGGTTCTTGATGAAAAAATATAGCAAAAACTGATTTGAAAGAAACGGTTATTTTCTGCTGGCAGGAAAGAACAAAGCGGCCATTTCCTGAGTTATTAAGAAATCCTTCAGATGAATAAGTACTTTAATTAATATATAAAAACTTTATTAATAGTGTCCGAAAAAAACAACCCTTGTCATGACATTTTGAAGTAGGGCCAAGTGAAAGTGGAAATCATCAGGGGCGTAGCAAAACC